TTTAGACTTAGCAAAATCCCAAACTTACCTCATAATTTTGAAATTTTTAAAATTTTAAGATTTAATCTAAGTCTCCCCGAAATGCTAGCTTGCTAGGTGTTTAGGGGTCATCTGAAATTATTTTACTAAATGAAAAACCAACAAAACCCAAATTCTGTAATCAGCTTGTAATCCTTTAGAATAAACTTGAAAAAAAAACCCGGGTGTAAGCGAGTGGTTGTATGTCGAGCAGTGAAATTTGGAGGGTAGGTGTATATCTTATCCTAGTATATTTCCTTTCATTTGTACTTTTTTTTTGTTAGATATTCCCTGTTTTCAACTTTTAAATTTAATTCTTTCAAAGGAACCCGGGGAATTTAAGTCACTCTGACTTTTTTTGGGGTTTTCCCTGTGTAATTACAAATGGTTTTGTAGATAATTGTGGTGTAACGTTTTGATGTGTACCTGTACCTGAATAAAAATAACTTACCTAGGATAAAAAAAAAAAAGTAGGACTTATTTCCATTGCAGTCTTTGAGTTTCACTTGTGCAAATTACTCCCTTTTGGGGAAAATGTTTCCACCCAGTGGCTTCCTCAGTCCAATCAGAGAAGAATGGGAGGTCGGGTTTGGGAATCAGTCTCTCAGCTGTTTTTAGTGCTCAGTCCATAAATTTTGAGGGGACTGAGGGACTGTTTTCCCTCAATCTCTTGATCTTAACTTTTGTTTTTGTAAGGACTGATGAAGCCAGGGGTGGTGAAACGTTTCCCCTTTTTTTGCAATGTTTCCCTTCACGGGGGGGTGTGTGAAGCAGGGTTTTTGGGGGGCCCCTTTTTGGGGGCCCTTTTAATGGGGTTTTGGGGTTTGGGGCCTTGCCTTTCCCCCTTTTTAAAGAATTTTTTTTTGGGGTTTTAATAAAAAAATGAATTTAACGTTTGGGGGTTTTTTTTGGGGGGGGGATGGGGGGCAATCCCGGGGGGTTTTTTTTTGGGATGTAATTTTTTCCCGGGGGGAAAGATTTTAAAACTTGAAAAGGGGCTTTTAATTTTTTTGTACTTTAAATTTTTTTTTTTTATTTATTTATTTAAAAATTATTTTTTTTTTTTTTATTATTATTATTATTATTATTATTATTATTATTATTATTTTTTTTTTTTATTTTTTATTTAAAAATTATAGTTTTTTCTTTCTGTATTAAAAAATTTTTTTTAATTTAAAAAAAAAATTTTTTTTCAAATATTGAAAATTTTAATTAAGTTTAAAAAATTTATTGGTATTGACTTTCCCCAAAAAATTTTAAGGGGAAAAAGGATTAAGGTGGTGGGGGGGAAATTTTTTAAAAAAAAAAAAAAGGTAAAAGTGGCAATTAAAAATTTAGACTTAAAAGAATTAAAAAATGGGTTTTTTGAGTGGAAAAATCCCCGACTACTGGGAATTGTGAGTTTTAAAAAATTTAAATTTTTTACAAGGGGTTTTTTTGGGGTGATAAAGTTGGGCCATGGGGAAAACGGTTTTTTCTTAGTTTTTAATTTTTTGGGGAAATGAAATTCAATTTAAACTTCAGACACCCCGAAGGAAAAAATTTTAATGGGAATAATTTTCCCCAAAAAAAGGAAATCAAATTAATGTTAAGAAATAGGTAAAAAAAAAATTTACCCAAAAAAATTTAATTTTAACACCCGGGGAATGCCCTTATTGGGGGAAGTACTGTTCTAAAGAAGGAAAAAACACCTTTTTGAAAGGGGGTTAAAAATTAACACCTTGCCCGGGGCCTTTTTCCATAGAGGCCTGTTTGGCATTTTTTTTTCCAGAACGGGTTTTGTTTTGAAAAATTTTTAAATTTTAAAAAAATTTTTTTCTTTTCCTTAAATTCCTATGGGGCATTTGTTTTTTTTTCCGTTTCACCTAGTTTACGGGGTGGGGCACCGGGGGACAAGTTAAGGCCCCGGAAAGTTTTAACCTTTCACCAAGGTTACCGGGTGGAACCCCTGGGTTTTTTCGGACTCGGCCCCACCCTAACGTCCCCATGGAGAAGGGGTTTTGGGAGCGACCGGGTGGCAGGGGGGTGGTGCAGGGGAAACGGGTTGAGCAGCACTGACCGGTGCAGCAGCAGCTACCTGGTGCACGCAGCTGACCTGGGCGCAGAGCTGACCGTGGTGCAGCAGCGTACCGTGGGCAGCGCAGTGACCTGGTTTGAATGATGGGGCAGAACTACTTGGTGCAGCCGGCCTGGTGCCAAAACCAAGTTCAGCCAAAATTTGGGACAATCCTGGTGCAGCAACCTGCCGGGGGAAAAAGCATACCTGGTAGGGCCCCCCCCCCCCCCCCCCCCCCCCCCCCCCCCCCCCCCCCCCCCCCCCCCCCCCCCCCCCCCCCCCCCCCCCCCCCCCCCCCCCCCCCCCCCCCCCCCCCCCCCCCCCCCCCCCCCCCCCCCCCCCCCCCCCCCCCCCCCCCCCCCCCCCCCCCCCCCCCCCCCCCCTTTTCCCCCCCCCCCGGGGGGTTTTGGGAAAATTGGGGGTTTTTTTGGGAAAGGGGGGTTTAGGTTAGGGTATTAGGGAAGGGGGTTATTTTGGTAAAAAAGGTTGCGGATTTTAGTTTTCCCGGAAAATGGGGGGGGGTTTTGACCCGGGAAACCCGGGGGGTTTTAAAAGGATAACCGGGGGATGGGAGAAAAAAAAAAAGGGGGGGTTTTTGCCCCCGAAACCGGGGGGGTTTTTCATACCCAGGGCCCCGGGGAAAAAAGGGGGTTACCACCAGGATACCCGGGGGGAGGTTTTTTCCCCCCAATACCCGGGGGGTTAACCCCCCCGGTGACCCGGGGAAGGTTTTTCATCACCCGGATGACCCCGGGGAAGAATTCATCCACCCGGGGGGGGGAAAAGGGTTTTCATCCCCCCAGGAGCCCCGGGGGGAAAGGGTTTTTCATCCACCCCGGATGACCCGGGGGAAGGTTATTCATCCACCCCGGATGCCCGGGGGAAAGTTATTCATCCACCTGGTGACCCGGGAAAGGTTATTTCACCCACCCGAGTGACCTGGGGGAAGGTTATTATCCACCCTGGATGACCCAAGAAAGTCAGTGCACCTTTGAAGAATGTCTTATTTCCTTTTGTGGGGGACCCAAAACCAATCGACTTGCATCCAAATACCTACTTACTGCTAGGTAAAACAGTGACAGCATGTGTAAGGAAACCGCCCATCATTTCCACCGTTCAGGAAATGAACCACAGACATTTGGTGTATGAGGAAAGCATTGCTAACTGAGCCACGGGAAAGTATAATTTGATACAGTTGGAGCTGAGAGAAAATTTACTTTTCATGTGTGTACACTATGTGAGGACTAACACATGTGATGTCAGAGATACGTACATGTTTTGCTTCATGTATTGTGTCACTGAGTTGTGTTGTAGGTCACATCAACGGGTTTTTAGATCTGGGTTTGAATTTACATTAAGTGTTGTTGGGAATATTGTGTAATCACTTAAAAGCTATTGTTAAAAGTCACTTTAACTTTCTGTGATATTGACAGCAATATACTATTATGTCAAACAAAACCTGAACCTGGCTGTTCTGTCTCTGTTCCTCCAGCTTTCTTTTAACCCCCATATATTATTAGATGCTAATAATTTAAGTAACAATACCGCTCTGCTAAACTTTACATCATTTGTGATTTTTATTGTAGATTAACTTGGAAAATTTTAAATATAATACAGGCCAAGTTTTGACTGAGATGCTATGCATTCTTTGGATCTTCAGTTTATTGTATATCCTGTGCATTAATGCTGAAATTTAGGTTAGTATCTGCATTTGTACTTGACCAACATTAGTAACTTCCACAAATGTTATGGCAAATTGTCTTACTAAAATTTCCAATCAATTGTTCTTGCAAAAAACTCTTGAAGTAGTTATTAGTTTCTTTGAAATGCTCTGCATAATAAAGGGCTTCTTGATAGTTGTGACAGAACCCACAGGCACAACACCAGACACAAACATCTCTACGACATTCCCCGTGTCCGACTAAACCTTTACAAAAATTCAATGTATGTCAAAGGCCCTAAAATCTGGAACACCCTACCTGAGAACTCTAGAACTGCAGACATATTCATCACCTTCAAAACTACCATTAGAAAACACCTTATCTCCCTGATACACCCCGTCAACTAACTACACGAATACCACCTGGTGGTTCACACTTACACTCACTCACCCATTTGACCATAAACAGAAATATTAATCTCAATCTTAAAATAATGAATCCTGTGATACTCCAATACTGAAACTATGTACTGTGCCAAAACAAAAGCATTCACATTGCTAAACTCACAAACTAGTATTTAGTCACTTAGCCATAATACCAACTTACCTCATAATTTGTAAAATTTTAAAATTAAGAATTAAACTAAGTCTGCCCGAAATGCCTAGCCATGCTAAGTGTTCTAGTGGTACACTCTGTAATCATTATTTTACTACATGTAAACGACACAATGACCAAATTCTGTAAACTCAGCATTGTAATCCTTATAGAGAATAAACTTTGAATTTGAATTTGAAAAATGTTACTTTTACCAAATCAGCTGTAAACCTTATTGTAAGAAGTTTGGTTCTGTTGGCATAATATATACAGTACAGTGGACCCCCGCATAACGATCACCTCCAAATGCGACCAATTATGTAAGTGTATTTATGTAAGTGCGTTTGTACGTGTATGTTTGGGGGTCTGAAATTGACTAATCTACTTCACAATATTCCTTATGGGAAAAAATTCGGTCAGTACTGGCACCTGAACATACTACTGGAATGAAAAAAGTTCGTTAACCGGGGGTCCACTGTATCTTGATTTCACTATGAGCCTTGTGAGTATAATAATATATTTCTTGACCTGTTCTATTAAGTATAACTGTACTGTCTTACAGCTGTGCTATTGGTTAGCCACGGACTATTTAATTTTCTTGTCGTCTTTCTGATATTTAATGGACAATGTCTATTGTATTGGTTCTTTATTGTGTGAAGGAATATGTGAACACTAGTTAATGTGGTTCATACAACAGTTTGCGTGTGGCCAGCAGTAGTAGCCTGGTTGATTAGGCCCTGATCTCCCGCGAGGCCTTTTCACAGACCGGATTGTGGGGGCGTTGACTCCTGAAACCCTCTCCAGGTAATATCTTGGTAATATTGTGCATTTGTCTCTTCCAGTTAATGCTGCTCATTGCTACTATAAAGTTATTCACTGATGACTCATTATGAAGCCTAGAGGAGTTTTTACTAATTTCATGGAGTAATTTTGGTAAGTTAGTGACTAGGAAGGTGGGGTAGTGATCAGTAGTATTGTCAGTAGAGTATTAGGTAAAAGGATGCATGTACAGCTAATTTGACATTTTATTGTGGCACCATTTTGCTCTCCAGACATTAATGCTTTGAATTATCTTTATTCGCTATTTCAGGTACCATTGCGCAAAATAAACAGCTTTGTCATTTCTGAGGTATTAGCAAGAATTATACTCAAAACAATAATCCCTGGCACTAGCAAAAGAGTGCATTTTACAGCTACTGTATGTAGAGTTGTGTGGTAGTGACTGTGGTACTAGGAAAAAAAAAGTGCAATTTACAAGTACATGGAGTTATGAGGTAGTGCCTATGCTGAGGCTGGCTCAGTTAAGCCAGAGTTTTTGAGGAAAGTGATTGTTGCATTTGCAGGTTATATCATACCTTCTTCTTTCATCTGTTATCCTAATAATAATAATTTATCCATCATGTACAAAGCAGTGGTGATGCATATTACCATTACTCGGGTGAAGATGTCTCAACCTGAATAAAAGACCTTGATGCTCTTTTGAGACATTCGTTTACATAGTATTCTTTTTCTCTGGTTTATTGATGAATGAATGAGAACTTTTCTTGAGCAATAATTGTCATTTACCTCCTGGTTTGCCAGGTATCTCTGCTTTCTTTATTTCTATAGGGCCTTTTGTGGTGTGCAGTTAATCTTCTTATCACTTGGAGAGTGGAATCTCGATAGATATTTCAGTCTATAGAACCTGGTTGCAGGTTGTTGTTGATAATAACATCTGTGAGCGGCTGCTCTTTGCAGATGCTGTATTATCAGGTTGTTTCTCCATTTGATCTGCTCATTTAATAAGATCAGTAAACTTTTGTTGTTTCTATGTGCTTTTTTCTCCAGTATTCGTTAGTTTTATCAAGTTTTTGTTTACAGCATTTCACTAATACAGCAGTTTTTAGTTGTACCCAACAACGAATATATTCACCACTCGCTATTTGCTTAGGACAAAAATATTTTAAGATAAGTAATGTGTGTATTTAAATTTTTTATGCTTAGCTCTATTGTTCACTTTATATATGATAGTGTAAACATATTACCAGGCTTTTTTATGTTTTTGAAAGTGAAAAAAAGGCTATGATTCACTTTACAGTGATATTTGCTTTACAGCAGTAGTCCGGAACCTAGCCTGCCGTATAAGTGGGACCCTCGTGTAGCCTACTTTCTTACTGACACTTTTGATTGTGTTTGGATTGCACTGATCTTATCTTATAATGCTTGCTGGTCAACAACAGCTGTCAATGGTTTTCCTATCTCATTTGTAAGTATGGTTTCAAGTTTGTTAAAAGCTGTTTGGAGGACTTCATATTTTACATTCATACTCTGTTTTCTGGGTTCTTGACCACTGGTGATATTAGCAAGGGTTGGGTTACCTTGAAATGATGACAAACATCATTGAAAGAAGCAAGTAGATAGAGCCTAGTAGGTAGCCATGTTGGTGGTTAAATCATGGTCAGCTGGGCTGGCTGTCTCCCCTGAGGTTGCTGAAAGGAAAAATGGGTGGAAGATTGTGTTCACCTGTGGTCGATTGGCTCTTTAATATTTTCTGGTGCTGGTCCTCCCATATTTACTTGTGACCATGAGTGAGGTGATTAATGTGTCGGTGGTGTGGAAGATGTCTTGCTCCATTCATTATGTCATTGTTCAAGTAACCGGTAATAATTTTATTTATTTGCTGTTATCGTCTTTCTTTTGTGTGGGTGACTAATTTATTGTGGTAACTTAGATGAGTGTTTGGAAACGACTGTTACTGAGGTATACCACCAGTGTTTGAGAACGACTGTTACTAAGGTATATCACCGATGTTTGGGACAACTATCACTGAGGTATACCACCAATGTTTGGGGAGAACTATCACTAAGGTATACCACCAATGTTGGGGACAAATGTTGCTGAGGGATACCACCAGTGTTTGGGACAAAGGTTGCTGAGGTATACCACCAGTGTTTGGGAAAAACTCACTGAGGTATACCACCATTTTTTTTTTATTTTAATTTGCCCCATTAGAATGAGCAGATTTTCAACTGACAGAATTTTCTGTCTGTTGTTTACTCTCTCTTTAAGACATGAAAATTAACCTTGAATATAACCATCATCCTTCACCAAAGACATTCATTAAGTTACAGCTCTAATAAGTTTACTGAATCTTGTTCAGTGACAGCCTTGCATTGGTCCAGGGTGGCTTCGCTACTGCTAATTTCATTAGAATTTGTAACTCTATTACCGTGGGGCACACCTGTTGGCCAGGCAGGGCCAGCCCCAAGTGGGTTACCTCTACCACAGTTTCTGAAGCCTAATTTTTTTTTTCCCCATAGGTTCCCAAATCTGAAGAAATTCTCTTAATGCTTGGCTGACTTGATTTACCAATGCTTAACATAATGATTTCAGGAAACTGTACTGTTGACTCATTGATGCTGCTGATGGTACTGTAATATAACCAGTAGTCTTCTGCTCTGGGATCCTGCAAGAATCTTCCCCGGGTGGCCAGTCAAACAAGCAAGTTGGACAAGGACTCTGCATGAATTTGGTAAATGCATTATGTTCTTAAAGTGACACTTCACATATACAACAGCTTCCAAGCTACCGTAAAACACCTCATTTCCCTCATATGATCCTAGTAACATTTATGCTGAAAAACTCTTTTGAATTCTTTCAACCTCAAAAATTAATAAAACTATGTATTCTTAACCCTTTCAAGGTTTCTGACGTACTAGTACGGCTTACGCACCAGGGTTTTTGACGTACTAGCGCCCTCAAATCTAGTGAGAGAAAGCTGGTAGGCGTACATATGAAAGAATGGGTCTATGTGGTCAGTGTGTGCAGTATAAAAAAATCCTGCAGCACACAGTGCATAATGAGAAAAAAAAAACTTTGACAGTGTTTTTGGTTTAAAACAGCGACTTTGCACTGTATTTTCGTATGGTATTTATGATGGTATTCTAGTTTTCCTGGTCTCATTTTATAGAACGGAAGACATATTACAGAATTTGAGATGATTGTGATTGGTTTTACAATGAAAAGTACCTTGAACTTGAGCTCAAAGTAGCAGAAATCTTTGATTTTTGCCAAAGTTCAAAAGTAAACAAATCATGCTATGCGTCCAATACACGTCAACTGATGAGTCTAATATTCTTTCACAAGTGCTCTGATATTATTTATACCATTTCTACACTAATGCAATAGTCTGCATAACAATAAATCTATTTTTTGTGAGAATAAAAATTCAAAGTGGAAAGCAAAAGAATGTAAGAGGGGCATGGGGATGTGACTAATGAACAGAGGAAATGTTATTTTAGTGTCAGGAATGTCTTTTCTTGTTTATTCTGGACCCTGTTTGGAAATTGGCATCTTTTGAAATTTGTGTGAAATTGGCAAAATTGCTAAATTCTGACCACTTTATTGGAAAGTTGAAATCGGTAAATGGGTGGTTTCTTGTACTCATTTGATAGAAAAAATGGAGTTCTAGCGAAATAGTTATGATTTTTGTCGACTAGTACACTGAAATTCACTGAAAATAGGGCTCAAAGTGGGCAAAATCGCCGATGCATAAACATCGTCAAGGCCGCTAACTTCGCGAGAGCGTAATTCTGTAAGTTTTCCATCAAATTTCATACTTTTGGTGTCATTATGATCAGGAAAATATTCTCTATCTTTTCATAAGAAAATTTCTTTTGGGGGGGAGTGGAATTTGTCAACCCTGAGGACAAGTCTGGGAGAGGGCCTGTCGACCCTGAAAGGGTTAATCTAGCTTTAAAGAGATAGTCTACCTGCTTGTTTTTGTTCATCATTAAGCAATACTGAAGCTCGGTCACTAGAGCACTCAGCTCACACACCGAGGTCCGGGGGTCAATCCCCAGTATGGGCGGAAACGTTAGGATGTGTTTCCTTAAGACACTTGCTGCCCACGTTCACCTATCAGTAAACAGGTACTTGGGCAGCGGCAGCTTGTGCATAGGCACTGCAGGACTGCAGAACCTATTTTCACTCGATATTATCAACAGAATTCATTATAATGAGTCTTTTTTTCTTTAATTCTTTCTTTATACTTGTACATTATATAATCCTTAAGCTTAATGTCAGTAGCCATCCCCTAGTAAATGAAAAAAATACAAAAATCCTTGTATGGAACTGTGAGCTTCACAGTTCCAGAGACTCACTGTTTGGCTATTGTGTGCATGTGCTCATGTCTGAGATAAGATGCTGCATGCTAGGTAGAGAGAGCACTGTCACTGAAGCAGTGCTGACCCTGTTGTGTGAGTGTAGGGAAGTGTTTCTTTTTGACTCAGCAATGTGTGTTGTGCTTAAAAACCATGTACTATATTCTTGAATGTGATCAAGTGTAGAATTAGATGATTATTATGCTTCCAGCTGTTTTATTTAATTCATAGTTTTTTCAGTTCTTTTGTTTTGCACAGTACAGTGGATCCTCAGTTAATGATATTAATCTGTTCCAGAGAGCTTGTCCTTAACCGATTTTATCGTTATCCGATTTAATTTTCCCCATAAGAAATAATGGAAATCCAGTTAGTCCGTTCCTGCTGTCAGGAGGCATGACAGAATAGTTCTTCAATATGATGCTATTATCAACTCCGTGGCTTATTTTATCTATCAAAATTCATCTAATATGATGTAATAAACAATATTAATAACATAGAAACATGTGTAATCTAGAATGAATAAAATATGTCATATTGTATGTGAGAAGTAACTGGTGGAAGTGTTGTTGTTAGGTTTATAAGGGCCACTGAGAGAAGCCATACATATTTGTTGTGGTGGAGGCTTCTGCCACCACCACTATCTACACGTAAACAATATACATGTATGTACATAATTTATAAATAAGAAATATTTACATTTTAATTTATAAATAAGAAATATTTTCATTTTAATTTATAAATAAGCTAGTTTATTCAGGTATACACAAATATAGTTACGTACATAGATTATCTTACATAGCACCATATGTGTAAAGTACCTAGGATAACCCAAAAAAATCAGTGACTTATTTCCATTGGGGTCCTTTTATATTTACACTTATATTTACTTTTATATTTACACTTACCTTGGAGGAGATGTTAGTTTAATTTGTTAGTTTGATGGAGGAGATGCTGGCAGAGGTTTAGGGTGGTGGACGATAGCATGCCGGCGTATGTTCATTCAAAATTCAAATGATTATTCTCTATAAGGATTACAATGCTGAGTTTACAGAATTTGGTTATTGTGTGGTTTACATGTAGTAAAATAATAATTACAGAGTGTACCACTAGAACACCTAGCATGGCTAGGCATTTCGGGCAGACTTAGATTAAATCTTAAGTTTAAAATATTACAAAATTATGAGGTAAGTTGGTATTATGGTTAAGTGACTAAATACTAGTTTGTGAGTTTAGCGATGTGAATGCTTTCGTTTTGGCACAATACAGTTTCAGTATTGGAGTATCACAGGCCAACTTATGACTAGTTAAGATTCATTATTTTAAGATTGAGATTGAGATTTCTGTTTATGGTCAAATGGGTGAGTGAGTGTAAGTGTGAACCACCAGGTGGTATTCATGTAATTAGTTGACAGGGTGTATCAGGGAGATAAGATGTTTTCTGATGGTAGTTTTGAAGGTGATGAATGTGTCTGCAGTTCTAGAGTTTTCAGGTAGGGTGTTCCAGATTTTAGGGCCTTTGACATACATTGAATTTTTGTAAAGGTTTAGTCGGACACGGGGAATGTCATAGAGCTGTTTGTGTCTGGTGTTATGCCTGTGGGTTCTGTCACAACTATCAAGAAAGCATTTTAGGTCAAGGTTAATATTGGAATTTAAGGTCCTGTAGATGTAGATTGCACAGTAGTAAGTGTGGATGTACTGAACAGGGAGTAAGTTTAGATCTATGAGGAGTGGGGGGGTGTGTTGCCAGGGATGGGATTTAGTGATTATTCTTACTGTGGCTTTTTGTTGGGTTATTATTGGCTTTAGGTGTGTTGCTGAAGTTGAACCCCAAGCACAGATAGCATAGGTGAGGTATGGATATATAAGTGAATGGTATAGTGTGAGAAGGGCAGTTTGCGGCACGTAGTATCGTATCTTGGAGAGGATCCCAACCGTTTTGGATACTTTTTTGGTTATGTGTTGGATATGGGTGCTGAAATTCAGGTTGTTGTCGAGGTATAGGCCTAGGAATTTGCCCTCATTATTTTTGGCAATTAGAGTGTTGTCGATCTTAATGTTAATTTGTGCATCTCCTGCTCTGCTACCAAACATAATGTAGTAGGTTTTGTTAGTGTTGGCCTGATACACATCCAACAACATTGGAGAGTTACTTTCGTGTCATTTTTCTATCTCTTACTCGCTTAACTTACTTGCTACACTGTTAATTCTACACTTTATCACTGGCTGGCACTATAGCCTTTATCAATACCTGCTGCTTTAGTATCGTAAATATCGTAGAATCACCGAATCACTGCAGAAGGCACATTCTCCCCTCTCTTCCTCCTCCACTTTGGTACTTTGCTACGAGATTTTTCTTGACTTTTATTGTGTTTCTTTCCTTCTTTATCACAGGGCTGGCACTGGAAACTTTCTTTGGGCCCATGGTGGCTTATTTAGCAGTTACAAGCACTAAAAACAATGGAATAATACAAAATACAGTATATCGCATGTACGCGTGGAATCGTCCTCCCTGGCTTGTAAACAATGGCACACTGGCTGTACGTGGGCTCAGGCCGCGTGGACACGTTTGGGACGAATGTCCTTAACTGAGTTTTTCATCATTATCCGAGCCAATATTTTGATGCAAAAATGCATCAGTATCCAATTTTATCGCTATCCGATAGCATTGTTAACTGAGGGTCCATTGTATTAAAAGAATGGCTAAAAATTTTCTGAAACAGCACCTCCACTAATTTTAGCTACAAGCCAACACTGTACTTAGGTGTTAGTTGACTGGTGTGGGTCACATCCTGGGGATAAAATTGACCTAATTTGCCAGAAATGCTCTGCATAACAAGGTGCTCTCTGTATACAGTGTTACCTTGACTTAGGAGTTTAATTCGTTTTATGACTGAGCTCATAACTCGATTTGCTCATATATCAAATCGATTTTCTTCATTGAAATTAATCGAAATGCCATTAGTCTGTTCCAGCCCCCAAAAAAACCATCCCAATTTTTTTTTTGTTACAGGTTTTTAAATAAAAAAATGTATTTATAAATAAGAAATATTATATACTCCACCCACCATCCTCACTACTACACCCACCACCCTCACTACTACACCCATCACCATCTCTACTCCACCTACCACCCTCACTACTCCACCCACCACCCTCTACTCCACCTACCACCCTCACTACTCCACCCACCACCCTCACTACTCCACCCACCACCCTCACTACTCCACCCACCACCCTCACTACTCCACCCACCACCATGACTACCCCACCCACTACTATCAGTACTCCACCCACCTGCGACCTGCGGTTACGCACCGAGTACGAAAGTAATTGAAAAATATGGAAAATGAGTTTTGTTTACAGAAAA